ACAGCATTGAGTCACATCCCTAGCACTATTTTGTTTCCTATTTTGAGAGTCATGAAGTTGCTCAGACGGGCCTCTAATTTGTGATCTTCCTGCCTCACTTTCCCACAGCTGGGATTGCAGGCATGTGCCACTATGTCTAGCTAGCACCAGAGCATTTTGATTCCTGCTTTGGATTTTATGATTTGTCATCAATAAGGACTATTCTAAGAATCCATGAATCATTTGAAATATGTCTTCTGGGAGAAAGACAACTCCTGAAATAATTGTGTGAGTGAACATAGAAGAGGAAAGGATCAATTAGTGAGGTAATGAGAGAACAAGAGGAAGGAGCTGCTAACTCTGTCTTCCCAGGCTGCCACACTCTACCTTCTAAAAGTGAGCCCTCCTGTTCCATGACCATCAGCGTTGTGATCTTGCTTTGCCTGCTCTCTTAGGTTATAGCTGTGAACCCTACAACAATCCTGCTGACTTCTTTCTGGATGTAATTAATGGAGACTCCTCTGCCGTGGCGCTAAGCAGACAGGATGATGACCCTGAAGGTGTGTGACTCTTAGATTCATAGATTTTTGCCACATTGATTCGGCTCAAGTTGGGCTGTGTGGTGGCTTCATAAATTCTCCTTGGCACAGTGCTCTGATACCAATCAGCAGGCCGACTTTGTTGTCCATGGGTGCTGTGAGTATTTTTGATGTATTTATGTGTGAATATTTTTATGATATTGTCCGTTGTAAGAGGAGTTTATATTAAAAAATAAACATGGTCATTATAGTTTTATTTATAACAAAGAACTTTGTAGTTAATACGTTTTCCCAGAGGAAGGACCAGATTTTTATATTGAGTCAGGCGTTCATATAGTAGGAAATTTGTTTTAAGAATTAGGATTCAAAAAGAGAAATGTCAGTGGATTTGATGTTTTCCTAAGATTCTAGTGATAGATAGATATGCTTCTCTAATGTGCAAACCACAGAAGTATCTAATAATTTATTTCTACAAAACCTTTAGAATCAACATATTGCAGGGCCTGGTGGCACATGCCTGTGATCCCAGCACTTGGACAGCTAAGGCAAGAGGATTGTTGGGAGTTTGAAGCCAGCCTGTGTAACATAGTGAGGCCCTGTTTCAAACTGTCCCCTGCCCCAAATCAACATATTATCTGACAGTGAGGTTACAGAAAAATGAATTAAATCAGTTATCTATTAATAATGTTTTTCTCCTTTATTTACTTTCATTCCAAAGCCAACAGGATTGAAGAGCCTAACAGAGAGAAGCCAATCATAGAAAAACTTGGTGAATTCTACACCACTTCGGACTTGTACAAAGATACGAAAGCGGAATTAGATCAAATTTCTGGTGGTCCTAAGAAGAAGAGGAGTGTAGCCTTCTTGGAGAACACCTACGTGACCTCCTTCTGTCACCAGCTGAGATGGATTGCCAAGCGCTCCTTCAAGAACCTACTGGGTAATCCTCAGGCCTCCATAGCCCAGGTAACCTGGCAGGTCCTAATGATGCTGTGAAATGCTCCTGTGAGCACAGTCATGTTCTGGCAGATTAAATCAGATTATATCCTATTACTTTGAACTATGTTAATCTTCCACCCACCCTTCCATTTATTCATCATCCACACTTCACTTACGATATAGAAGCTGTCAGTAGAACAAGTTTTTATTTTTTCACTTGGGGAAAAGCTTTTGTTAATGGTTTTTTAGATTGCCTAACTCAAAAGTTTTGATAATTTAGACAGGTTCTAATGAATAATTACAGTAGAAATTTTATGTTTTTTAAAATATAAAGACAGTATCAGCTGCATATGAAAAAAGCATTTATGTAACTATTCACATTCATTGACTGATTTATTCCACAAGTTCAATGCAGAAATCTTGTGTTGCTAAAAAAAAAAATAAAAAATAAATAAAATTTTATAAAGGGCCAGCCAGATAGCTCAGCAGACGAAAGCACCTGCTTAGGCATGTTTGATCCCCGGTGTGCCTTGCTGGCCCCACCTCCAGGGCCCACTGAGACTGTAATTGAGACCGGTCATGATGGCGCATGCCTATAACTCCAGTGCTTGGGAGGCTGAAAACAGGAGGATCACTGTGAGTCCAGGCTGCATAATGAGATCCTGTAGACCCTGAACTAAAGACATAAAAATAAATAAATTAATTAAAAGAAATAAAAATCCTGTGTTGCATTTGGGAACACTAACACAGTAATGAACAAAATAGGAAAAAATGAAAATTGGGTCTAATTAAGGTTATTTTCTTATGTGGGCAGGGAGAAGATAACTGACTAAAGAGAATGTGTAGTGTGTCAGATGGCAGAAGGGACTATTCAGAAAATTTAAGTAGAGAAGTGAAGAAGGAGGGAGAGAGAAGGAGCTCAGGAGAAGAGGGTTGGTTTGTTATTGACATCAGATAAAGGAACTGTGTACACCCTAGGGTAGTTTGGACTGTCCACGGTCGTAGTGAGCAGCCTTATTTGCTGCATGCTGTATGAGAAGATGAAATATTTTTAGCTCTAATGAAAAACTACTAGGGTCCTGGGGAGAAGGGCCTGAGTTCAATCCCCGGTTCTGCCAAAAAAAAAAAATAAACTACTGACTTCTTAACATGAGCACCGTAGTTTTCCTATTTTAGTGTTGTCACCTTTTGTGTTCTCCGGCTTTCTTTCCTTTTGCTGGCACAGATAACTAAACCTAGCAATTTAAGAGGGAAAGGTTTATTTGGCTCATGGTTTCAGAGATTTCAGTCTAAGGCCAGCTGACTCCAAGGCAGGGACATCATGACGCAAGGACACGGTGGAGAAAGCTGCTCACTTCATGGTGGCTGAGAAGCAGAGCACAGGGGATGAGCCCTAGAGGAAATAGCCAGGAACCAGCTATCACGGCCTGTGTCATGGCCCTGTCACCATCCACCTGCTCGCAGAGGTGTGCTTTACTCATTCCCTCAGGGCTCTCAGGCCAGTCAAGTTGACAGTCCAGTCTAGCTCTCATACTTTGCAGCTGTGTCTGAGAGCCTACATCCCTGTTTATATCACTTTGTCAGTTGTTCTGCACGTTTGGTTTCTGTGATTTGTCATTTCTCTCAGAACGTGAACAGTTCTTGTCCTATAAATCCAAGATACAACTTCATTTTTTGAGAATAGATTTATGTCACTTGGAAAAAAGTCACAAGTTAGATGCATCACCCTGGGTCACCCATTGTTAAACAGTGAGAGAATGAAATGAGTTGATTCTTTTTTTTTTTTTTTATCCAAGACTCATACATGGTAGTTCTGGAAACGCATGACTACAACAGTCTTTCTTGCAGTACCCTAGCATTGTGCCTGTTTGGGTGCTACGTTTCCTTGTGATGTAAACACCAGGCCCTTCGCCTCCAGCATGCATGTTCAGCCTCCTTACCTGACCAGGGATCTCTGTTTCATGAAGGAATCCCAGCAATGCTCAGAGAAGTATAGTCTCTAGAATTAGGGTAGAACCTTGAATCTTCTGAGCATAGTGGGGCACTTTTATTCAAGTTTCTAAGTAATGGAATATTAGTATAGGACTAGCAAACCATTTTTCAAAGGGGCTAGTTGTAGGCTTTGCAGGCCATCCAGGTAGGTTCCTCATCTCAAGTATAAGACCCATCATTTTAGTACTACAGCAGCCATAGTGAATACCTAAGTAAATGAGCACACTGGCTGTGAGACAGTACAACTATATGCATGAACACTGAAGTTTCAGTTTCATATTATAAAATTATTATAATTCATATTATTTGATCTTTTTATTTCATATATATTAAAAAAGTTGGCAAAAGCTGTTAGCTTGCAGACCTAGCAAAAACAGGTGGCTGACCTTGTTTGAATGTGGACCATAGTTTACTATGACTGATGGCATAGGCTTATTAATCCTACATGGTTTTTATTTCTCTTAGTTTTTGAACGTGAAATTGTTACAATGTTTTATGGCTTACTTGTGATAAATCTATTTACTTATAGCTATACTTTGACTTTAAGTCATTATTCATATAGTTAAGAGT